CATACATACATACATACAGAGATGCGTGCATACAGCGATGCGTGCATGCATACATCCATGCACGCATGCATGAATCATACACGAACACATGCACGCTTACACATACGCATGCACTTGCACATGCACATACACGTAGCACACACACACATGCACATACGCATGCACATGCGCATGCACATGCAGTATGCAGCATGCACATATGCACACATGTACATGCACACGTACACGCATGCATATGCACATGTACCTACACATGCACCTACGCCTACACCTTCAGGTACACGTGCGCATACACCTACACCGACACTTACTCCTATACGACTACACACATTCCCCTACACCTTCCCGCACACATACGCACACAGCCGTGGACTGCCGACGAATGTTTTTGTACCTGTGTGTGCACTGTTTCCAGCGCCAGGGTTGGGTCCGCAGCGAGTCGAGTAGCTGTGATATCGTCAGTCCGGGGTGATATGACGTGTTCTTTGACCCCATGGGCGCAAACTCGGAATTCTCCCAGCTCGGAAGGCGGCGTGAGCAAAAAGGTGAATACCAGTGGTAAACGAGACATTGTAAGCTTTCTGCTTGCTGGACTGACTGCACTACTACAGTAACTGCTTTCCAACGTTCTCCCGCAGCATGGATGTTTGCTTGTAATCGAAAAGTCGGAAACGTCGTCCTTCGTTGAACTGTGGAACACCGCCAGAGCTGGTGCGGTCGGAAAAGCTTCCTACTTCTTCTACTGGCCCCCCAGGTGGTGGGATGCAGTTGGGTACAAACGTCCCCTGCAATGCGGACACGTCCACAAACTGACACAAAGTCCTCAGAATGTTGTGTGAATACAAGAGCACCCGTGCAAACGATCCATTATCGATTGCCCGTCATCGATCGTCCCCAATGCTTGCATATCTCCCACAAGCGGTTGTGTCTTGCATCCAGTTTGTCCAACTTCGACACAGACAGGACGAGTTTGTAAGATTATTCAAGTTTACGACGTTGAGGTTTGCAGACCGTTGATGCATATCTTCTGGAAACTGAGGCGCCCATGGGTTTGCAGAAGAGCTGATGGCCATGAGAATACGTACTGATATCATCCGCGTTTGACGACATAGCCAAAATCTTGATCAGGTGGGCCGACACGACTTCACACTTCACGTGTCGGGCCTTACTCTCATTGAAGACATCCAATTTATGTGCCCATGTTTGTCCAATTGAGGATGATATGGCTGCACCAATATACCCCCAGACCCTACTTTATTCTGTGTTCTAACTAGCGAGACCCCTATATCCGGGAGGAGTAGAACTCGGATTTCAGAGTTTGGCATTTTGGGCCTTTGGGTTGTGGCCTTGACGGCCTCGAGTCTACAGATGTTGGGGCTTCTGGTTTAGGCTTCCAGGCTTTTGGGTGCAGTGTTGAGCCCATAAGCGTGAAAGCTCGTTTGGGTCGCAACGACGCCCGGCTTCTCAAGCATCCACAGGAGAATCCTTCTTGGCCCGGAGCCTTGGAAAGAAGGCCTCATGACCAAAGCATTCCAAATCTGCCAGCCGCTGTGCCCGAAAGCTCTGAACCCTGAAACCTCACCTGAGAGAAGGAGATGTCCGGACTTGACGTGTTGCGCCCGAATGAACTCAAACAGGGCTTGTTCTAACCCTCAGCCCTCAGCGCGGTCTTACGAAAAAAAGGATCCGAAAGCGCCCGACACCGTTAAACCCTAAACAATCACGCGCTGAAGTGCTCACGGCCTCAATCCCGCCCGACACCGTTAAACCCTAAACAATCACGCGCTGAAGTGCTCACGGCCTCAATCCTGATCTGCTGCGCGCCACCAAGGGGCGTAACTCGTACGTCCAGATCCGAGATCGCGACAGCATGAACGAGACACCTCGGGTGCATTGCGAGTCATGCCGGCTCAGCGCTTAACCACAACAACTGAGGCTATGGATCAGCGCGCCTGCTGCTGCTGCTGCTGCTG